AATGATGAACGAGATGACAGAGATCCCCTGTACTAGTGAGTCCCACACCTTCCTTTCCCAGCCTGCCTTCTCAGTCATCCCGGCACAAAGCTGGGTCCAGACCTAACTGTCAAGTCAAGGAAGAGTGCCTTCTTCTTCCAGCACAGACCTCTCCGTTGACCCCACCTTTGTTGCCATACAGCTTCCAGGAAAGATGAAAGTGCCCACAGCAGCTAGCAAAAATCAATCTACATTAAGGCTTCCTGACCAAATAGGTCACCTCTCCTGGAAGTGTTTGAATTTAGAAGTAGGCCAAGCCTCAAACAAGTAAGTGCATTGTTAGTGAAGAGAATTCCGCCACCCAGGGATAAGCCCAGAGGGAGTGTTATAAGGTTTGTTATAAAGAGTAAATGAGGTCATCTGACAGCCTTCCTGACCCCCTTACCCCATAGCATCTCCAGTTCTGTCTACGCACAATAAGGTTCCCACCCCTCCCCCATCCTCTAAGAGGTTTTTTTTTTTTACTTTTTATTTTGAAATATTTTTATACTTAAGAAAAGTTGCAAAAATAGTACAGAGAATTTCCATATGTCCTTCATCCCATTCCTCCTAATGTTCATGTCTTGCATAAACATAGTGTGATGATCAAGAGTAAGAAATTATTGGGGCGCCTGGGTGGCTCAGCAGGTTAAGCGGCTGACTCTTGATCTTGGCTCTGATATAATTTACAGACTTTATGTGAATTTTGCCAGTTTTTCCAGTCGTAGTTGAGGGTTTCTTTTTAAATCACTTATCCAAGACAACTGTTGAGTTTATTCTCTTGCATCCCTTAAATGAAGACAGCCTTTGGAGAGGTAGCTTCCCTGGAAGCTCTGAGGAGAGCCGTCGTGGACCTCTCATGGTCCAAAATTGGCAGAACCCCATTTGGGCATCCAGTAGGGGTATTCTCCATCTTTTCACTTTTCCTACCCCACCCACCCATCCTTTCTCCTCTTTTCCTTCTCCCTGCTCACAAAACGGATAGTCTCCCCATGCCCCATATCATGCAATGGGCTTTTTCCATCATCAGAGTTCTCTGCTTTAGTCAACTAACCTGAGAAGTTGGCCCGGGAATTTGCAGCTATTGATTTTCACTGTCATTGTAAAACCGCTTGGGTTGTGACTTATAATGGCAGCATTTCTTTTTCATTGGTCTCCAGTGGATCCTGGGATGCCCCTATTGCTGCCATGTTGGTCATGGTCACTCTTAGTTAGCCCTGTATGACTATCCCTCGTAAGCCCCTTGGGGAGACCCTGGAGGTGGAAGGCTATCGGGGTTGACCACATGGTAACTAAATTACTTTATTAGTTAGACAGCATGAATCCCCATCACAAAGCATCCCTGCTTCTTAACATCACGGTGAGGTCAATGGCACACGTTGGTGCAAAATTCCATTTGCCCATTCACCGTGCACCCTCTTCTCTGTAGAAAGAACGCAGCCTTGAGCATGCTCACTGCAAGTGCCCTTGCAGTTTTGCTGCCGTGTGCTCTGTGTTTATAAGTTTGCTCAGCAAAATTAATGATGAAAGAAGCGTGAGCTGGAGAAAAGCTTAGAGCTGATGAATGTTGGAGGAGCATTGGTTCCCCTCCAGCCAAAAGACAGGTGGAAAAATGGAAAGCATGAAAGGTGACTAAGACTCTATATTCCAAAGGAAATCTTTTTGCCACCAGGGAGACGCCGAGGCACCTTCACAGTAGAAAGCCCCTATAAGCAGTGCAAAAACCTTCATAAACCTTTGGAGGGAAGCTGTATACCATGGTTACAAGTGCTAGTTTGGGGGGCACCTGGGTGGCTCAGTGGGTTAAAGCCTCTGCCTTCGGCTCAGGTCATGATCCCAGGGTCCTGGGATCGAGCCCAGCATCGGGCTCTCTGCTCAGTGGGGAGCCTGCTTCCCCCTCTCTCTCTGCCTACTTGTGATTTCTATCAAATAAATAAATAAAATCTTTAAATTAAAAAAAAAAAACAAGTGCTAGTTTGGGTCAAATCTAGCTTCTCTACTTGCTGTGTAAATCTAGACAAGTTCTTCGTTCTTTCTGACCCTCAGTTTTCTCATCTGTAAAATGGGAATGATTACACGTCCCCTTTTTTGTAAGATTGTTGTCAGGATTTAATGATTTATTATCAATGGTATATGTAAGTGAAAGTTCACAGTTCCTGGTACAGAATAAAGGTTCATTTGAAAGTCTCATTTATAATTGGGCTGATCTAATTAATACTGAAAAGAGGAACATCATGATAGATTTGATAATATGGCGTAATGGCTTAAGCCTGAATGTTAAGTTTCAATCCTAGCTCCACCATGAACTGGCTTTGTGAATTTGAGCCACTTATTTCTCCGAACCTGAGTGTCTCCCTCTGTAAAATAAGAATAATAATACTACATAAGGGGCTACTTGGAAGAAAGCACTTAGCATAGTACCCAGCATGGAGAGTGGCAGACACTTAATAGAGGTTTGTTTTTCTAGTGCTGTGGCTCTCAACCACATTCAGATCACCTGAGAGCTTTTTAAAAAGCACGCCTGCCCAGCTGCATCCCCAGAGAGGATGATTTAATAGGTCTGAGGTGGGGCGTAGGCATTGGTATTTTCAAAAGCATTCTGAGAAGATTCTTCGCAGAAGCCAAGGCTGAGAACTACTCCCTCACAGATGACATTACGCGCTGTTTTTTTGTTTTGTTTTGTTTTGTTTTGCTTTTTCTCTCTGTCCTCAAGAGACTGGTCAGAAGATCAGGAATTCTGGGCACAGTCAAAAATTCAATACACCTGCAGCTCTAAGCCCTTGATAAGGAATAGGCAGCCAAGGAACTGCATTCCTTTTTATTATGGAAAAAAAGTATTCAAAGAGTCTTTTTAGAGTCTTGAACTGGAAAGGTGGTAAGAAGTTTAGCCTAAGCCTCACACATAAAATATGGGAACTCCCAGTAGGCTGGGGATTTATATCTGGGGGTAATTCCAGGGTTTTGTCCTCCCAAGAGATATAAACTGAGGCCTTGAGAGTTTAATGTGGGGGAGGAAGAAGTGTTCTCATAACGACACCTTAAAAGTCCAGGCCTCGGCTGATGCCTAGGGATAGAAAGGCATCATCTGTAATAGTGGGGGGAGGGGGGTGGTGTAGAAGTGCATTCTGGTCTCAGTACTTTGGTTTCCAAGATCCAAGGCTAGGTCATCGAGAAACTTCTTTCTCCCCATAGGTTTACGGTATTAGTTACCCAATAAAAGTAGGGTTAATTTTACAACCCAAGTAAAATTTAAGCCAAAAAGGCTTCAACATTACTCTAGGATTTATGAAAGTAAACATGTGGAGTGCTTGCAGGATTTTACGACATTAAAATTTCAATGTCTTCATGTCAGGTAGGTGACAGATTCGTTTGTGTGTGTCCTTAAAGGTTAAGTTTTTAAGAGCTTTGCAATACAGATTTTTGGGAACGAAAGTGAAGATACTTTCCCCAATCTCCACCTCCAAAAAGACTGTTGGAGTGAATGGGGAGTGGAGAGCCTCTGGACACTGGTCTTTTAATGATCAGCTCTATCAGATTTTTTTCACCTGGTTTCCTGTTACAGTGGGCTTTCTCGACTTCCACATTGAACGCCCAAGGATGAAGTCTAGGGCCATAAGACTGACTCCAAGTCAATTTTACAGAATAGGAACTTAGTAAATGATTGTCCTTTAAATAAATGTCTTCTTTGGTGATCATAAATACTTCAATAGTAAGCATGTGTTACCTCTGAGTAGCACTTTGTAAGAACGTTTACATTATTTCATAGGGTCCTCATGACTTTCACTTATAGGGTAGAGAGGTCAGTGATCATCTTCATCTTACAGATAAGAAAACCATAGCTCAGAGGACTCAAAGAGATTGGCTAAGGACATGCAGATGTTAAACCCAGGAAGACAACTTTTCTCCTGATTTCTGCCTTAAAGTACTTTAACTTAGAAGAAACCAAAGAGGCAAAAATGATCTTTTTATTCACACAATGTACTGATTCCAGCCAGATTAACAGAGGAGGAAGAACCGGGCTGAAGTCCACCCAGAAGCCTGGCAGGTGGCCTTTTGTCTGGCTGTGGTCTGCTTTTGAGAACCAGCTGGATGTTCTGTACTTATGTCTTGTGCTTATGGCAGACCCTCGTGGGATGTTACGACCTTTATCCTTTATCCTTTCAAGCCGAAGCTCCCATCTTGGGTCCCACCCTCCAGCCTTCCACCTCCAGCCGTTTGCCACACTGACACTAACCACACTATCTGGCATCCCCTTGTCTTCGGAATAAAATCTACTCCCCATACTTTTTTTATTATAATTTTGAGGCCACAGATTTTTTTAAGATTATCTTTAAAGTTTTCGGGGATCACGAAAGCATGATTTTCATTGACACATTCTGTAGATTTCCTGGAATTTAGTGACTCATTTGAAATTGTGCAGTCCCGGGGTTGCCTGGACATTTCTCTGCAGGGTAGAGATAATGGGTCTTAAGCAGCAAGGAGCCACATAGCTGCACTGCCCTCTGGTTTCTTTCTAGCCACACCCAGCTCCTCACCTCGTGGAGCCCCCAATAGACACATCAGTTGGAGTGCATCTTGTGGATAAGGCACCCACGCCTTTGTAGCAAATGAAGCAGAAATAATCTGTGCTTAAAAAACAAAACAAAACAAAAAATTGTAGAACATGTGCCCAGATTCCCAACTCATTTCCTCTTTACTTTTTTAACTACATCATCTTCCAGCCCATCACCAGCTGCGAAAATAAAAATGCTTTCTCCCCTATTTAAGGATGATTTTGCGCTTCAGAATGATTTTCTGGGGGTGAAGGAACTTGACCAACGTGACCAGCAGATGTTTTAAGTGATGGATGGAACGGAGGAAAAGCCTGACTTCCTTAGCCCAGCCTTGGGTATCCTGTGCTCAGCTTCTCCCCCTAGCGACTGTTTCGGGTATCACCTAGTCAGAGCCAACTCACCAGCTCAATGTCTGTGCTCTGTTTTTAGAGATGAGTATGAAGAAGATGGATTCTGTCAGCCATACAGAGGGATTGCATGTGCAAGATTTATTGGCAACCGCACTGTCTATATGGAGTCTTTGCACATGCAAGGGGAAATAGAAAATCAGATCACAGGTAGGTAACACCAGTGAAATTGTATTGATACCTTACATAACCCTTTTTCTCCCCACACGTTTTCTTGAGTTCCTCTCTTGACAAAGGATTGGGCTAGGCATAGGGGTTAGGAGCAGGACCACAGAGAAGCAGGAGATATGATCTCCGTGTTCTGGAAGGAACACTAGAATACTTTATGGAAGATTGTTGCTCGTAGAGGAAGAGGGTGCTCTGAAAACTCTCACATTCATTCAGGTACTTGATAAAGATTTTTAGTGTTTTGGCCACACCAGGAACTGGACAGGGCACTGGGGATATGCCGGTGTGGTGAATAAGCCAGCTTAACGTCTCTGCCCTCGTTGAGCTTACTGTTCGGAGACAACATCGCCTAGACTGAAAGTCAAGTAAACTCTAAATCAATTTAGAGTCTAGAATTCTGGACACCATTACTATGACTTTAAGGAAAACTCTAATTCTTCATGAAAAATCTCTCTCTTCATTGGTGAAGTGAGTGATAAGGCAAGATGATCATAAATCTCTTCTTGCTCTAGCCTTCTCTGTTTTACCCTTCATTTTTCTGAATCAGAAGTATCTTTTTAGTGGAAATCTAATAGTGATGCACTTTCTAGCACACATGAGCAAAGCAGTGTGTAGGCTACCTTGTACGATTTTGCACACCTGGTTCTGGTGGTTATAACAGCCTTGTGTTTCTTCCATTAGTGTAGTTGTGCACCATTTCCATATACCCTTGCAAGCCATTAAAGTTGCCCTAATGGGATTCTAATAAGGTCGCCAGGCTTAGCAAATAAAAGCACAGGACACCCAGTTACTTCTGAATTTCAAGTAAACAATGGATTATTTTTTAGTATAAGTATGTTCCAAATGTTTACCTGAAATTCAAATGTAACCAAGTGCCTTGTAGTTTATGGTAACCTTAGGATTGAACAAACCTGAGGCAGGCACACAGAACAGCAAGGAGTCGAGAAACTATGCCCCATGGGGACTATGAAGGAACTAAGAGGAGCCCCAGGGAGCTGTTTAATCTGGAGAAGCAACTAGAGAAAGCTGGAGTTGTCACTTGCTAAAGAACTTTCAGGAGGAAGGACTGTGCAGTGAGCAGAGGACAGAAGCAGGACAGATGAGGAGGGGCTGTGGAAGGCACATTACAACCTAATATAAGAACATTTTAACATATTTTTACTAAGTAAAAAATAAATGGGAGCTCTGAAGTAAATGTTTCATCACCCATGTATAATAATCCTCTCAGACATTTTCAATGGACATCTGCTTACTGGAAAATACTATCGTTAAAGAAAGCCACTTAATTTTGTTTAACCCGGCATTTCCCAAACGTGTTTGGCTCTGGAACCCTGGTTTCTCAAACACTATGAATATTCTACAGAATGAATATTCTGAGGAACACCCATTGAGAAACAGTGTACCAAACCCCGCCAGACTATCTTGTGAAGTATAAGCTCCTTGTCAATGCAAAGGGAGACAAGTACTCTTTCTGTACATGGATGTCAAGCTGAAGAGGTCAGGCTAAATGACCACTAATACACACCCCAGAATAACTGAGTTGAGCTTTTCAAGAACTTCCAAGAGAATTGCCTCATTTTCAGAAGACGAAGTAGAAGTATCAAAGGCACAAAGAAATTAAACAAGTTACCCAGAGTCATCCACCTCAGACGTAAGATGCAGAACTAAATCCTGGGCTCAGGCTTGTCCACCGCAGACAGCGAGTTCTGCCCTGCAGCTGTCGAAAGTTTTAGAAGCTTCATAAAACTCATAAAAAGAACCGGATGAAACACAAAGTTCTGTTGCTTTGTAGTAAAAATGAAAAATATATTGTGCTTTAACCTAATTAATTCTTTTTATTAGGAAATGGTACATATGTAACCTAATCCTGTTTTTTTAACTTTGTAGTCAAAATGATTTTTTTTCAAGCCAGTGAAAGTAAGCCGCTTGGACATCTGAACTGAATCTCCTCTTGGCCTTGTCTGTTTGAGTGCGGCGGATTCCTTCCCGTGTGTGTTTATATCTGATATCTGTTGACTAGATAACCGGCGGAGATAAACCCTGGCCCCTGGGAGTTAATAACTGTGTTTGTTTTCCAGCTGCCTTCACCATGATCGGCACCTCCAGCCACTTATCTGATAAGTGCTCTCAGTTCGCCATTCCTTCCCTGTGCCACTACGCCTTCCCGTACTGCGACGAGACGGCGTCCATCCCGAAGCCCCGAGACTTGTGTCGCGATGAATGTGAAATCCTGGAAAATGTCCTGTGTCAAACAGAGTACATTTTTGCGAGATCCAATCCCATGATCCTGATGAGGCTGAAACTGCCAAACTGTGAAGATCTCCCCCAGCCCGAGAGCCCGGAGGCCGCAAACTGCATCCGGATTGGAATTCCCATGGCGGATCCTATCAATAAAAGTAGGTGGTAACTCCTGGCCTTCCGTGCTGCCTGGGAGCCCGCAACCCTGTGGCACAGTGAAAAGTGGACCTTCTTGGCGGGCAGATTACCTTCCGATGGGCTGAATACTGTGTGGGGGATGGAGCACTCAGTGAGCGGGTTAGATGTGGTCCCTGGCCTCAAGATGCTTCATGAAGATGGTCATGTTTACATATGGCTGCTGGTTCTTCAGTGACTTAAATAGATTTGCCATATGACCCAGCAATGCCGCACCTGGAGGTACACTCACAAGAATTTGAAAAAGGTGTTCACACAAAAACTTGTATGCCAGTGTTCACAAGAGGTGTATTCACAATGGCTGAAAGGTGAAAACAACAGAAGTGTCCGTTAGCGGATAAATGGATAAACAAATTGTAGTATATCTATATGATGAAATATGATTCACCCATTGAAAAGGAATAAAATCCCGAAACTTGAAAGGATTATGATAGCAAAAGAAGCCAGACATCATTGTATGATTCTGTTTCTGTGAAACATCCAGAATAGACAAATCTATAGAGACAGAAAGCAGGTTAGTGGTTGCCAGGGATAGGGTGGGGGGCTTGGGGAGTGACTGCTGAATGAGTTTAGGATTTCCTTGAGGATGATACAGGTGTTCTGGAATGAGACCTGTGTCCTGGAATGGTGAAGGTTGCACAACATTTTCAATGTTCTAAATACTCTAATGGCAAATTTTATGGTATGTATATTGTACCACAATTTAAAATACATATACATGGGGCTTGTCTCTATCCACTGTCCTCTCACCTCTGTTCCTCTATAACTGCCCTTTCCCCTAGAATTAAACTCACTGGCAGTTTTTTTGAGTTTCCTTTTGTAATTTAATATTATGCTATTAGTTAAATGAATTAATGCATCTAAAATGCTGAGAACTATGCTTAGCATGTAATAATAGCAATATCTTCATTATTACCATTATTTTATCATTATCCCTCCATATTTTCATTTATTTCAACTCAGTGGATTTTTGCCATGCTTTCAAGAAATAGCCTTGTGGTCCCCTAGGAAGAGGACTTGCTTCTCAAGAAGAGCCAGTCCATCAGCACAGAGTGGCCCTAACTCTTGTTAGAAACCCATACGCACTGCTCCTAGCGAACATTTTCTGGGAACTAGATTCTTTATCCCATGGTTCATGTCTAAAGACATCAAGCAAAAATGGAAAGAAGAGTTTAGCTTGAACCTTTCCTGAACCATTTACTAGGAAATCACTCCTGTGCCCCCTGGGTCCCGCCCCCAGTTCTGACTTTTTTTGTGTTCAATATTAAAAATACCTGTGGAGGACTGGTTTTATTCCTGACCCATAAGCTTTAAATCCTCGCAGGAATGTAACTGCAACGCAGAACTGCTGTCCCAGCCCAGCAAGCAAGGAGACTGCCCTCCTGGCCCCCGACCAGCAGGGAAGCCTTAGCCCATGAGGTTAATTGCAAGCCTTTCCAGAAACTGCTGGCTGGAAGCTTCAGCAACTGCTGGTTCTTTCTCACAATCTGAGCCTTTCTCTTCTGCTTTCTCAGATCACAAGTGCTATAACAGCACAGGTGTGGACTATCGGGGGACAGTCAGTGTGACCAAATCAGGACGCCAGTGCCAGCCGTGGAATTCCCAGTACCCACACACACACACCTTTACTGCCCTCCGTTTCCCGGAGCTGAACGGGGGCCATTCCTACTGCCGCAATCCAGGGAATCAGAAGGAGGCTCCTTGGTGCTTCACCTTGGATGAAAATTTCAAGTCTGACCTGTGCGACATCCCAGCATGTGGTAAATGCCTTTAACATATTCAGTGACCTTTAAAAGAGCCTCTCTCATCCCCCTGCGATTAGCAGAGGTGATAAGGGGGCCAAGGAGAGTGGTGGTGTTTGTTAGATCTCAAACTATGTTTCTAAGGCACATAAACCTTGCCGTGTCTATGTTAAACAACTTTTAGGGTACCAGCTCGCATTCTCAGGGAGCAAACTGCTTGCTTCCCACAGCCGTTGCAGTTAGTGGGTGAAACAGGCACAAGGAAACCAGCTCATCACAATCCAGCCATGTAGAAAAAGACATTACCCTCCAGGGTCCATGTCCATGTGCACCCATTTTCGCATAACAGGTATTATGGGCAGAAGCCGAAAGAGAACTGTTTTCCTGTTGTCCTTGAGAACACCCACGAGGTAGGATGAGTCTATGGGTATTAATCAGCCATTCTGAGTAACACATTACTCAGGGCAATGTGTAGAGAAACTCTGTCCTTTGTGTCATCTTCTCATGTCGCAGAAGTGTGGGAAGAAAATGAAATTCTTGAGTCAGTTTGTTCCATTTCCTAGAAAAGTGTTTGGCGGGGTAGGAGAAAGAGAAGGAAAATTAGAGTGAAACCTGGAGTTGGGACTATCTGGGAACTGAATCTTCTTCCCGGTCCTAGTTCTTTTTTTTCTTTTTTTTTTATATATTTTATTTGACAGAGATCACAAGTAGGCAGAGAGGCAGGCAGAGAGAGAGGAGGAAGCAGGTTCCCTGCTGAGCAGAGAGCCCTATGCGATGCAGGGCTCAATCCCAGGGCCCTGGGATCATGACCTGAGCTGAAGGCAGAGGCTTTAACCCACTGAGCCACCCAGGCACCCCTCCTGGTCCTAGTTCTTATAGATGATGTCTGCTGGGTTCTCCCGGCTCAGAGTCCAGTGTCACTGCAGGAAAAGCAATAGCAGGAAAATGGACATAATCATAACATCCTATTGGGAGAATAAATGGGTTGTTTAAAAAAAAAAAACTGTATGATGTCTGGAAGGTGGTAAATGCTTAACAAATAATATAGTCAATATATAAGGAAGCATCTACTATTGGTATGTAGTCAACATAGAGGAATGTTTGCTCTCAGTTTAGCAAATATTGTTTGAGAGCCCACTGTGGAGCAGGGGGTTTGAAAGAGAAATACAATGTGATTCACATTATAATCACAATGCAGGGTGTGTGATGCAAGAGAAGTCAGCACGAATGTTATGGAACAGAGGAAGCGAAACATACTAAAGAGGTCCATAGGAAGAAGCAATAAAAATGTTGAAAAGAAACCTTAGTGATGAAAATGTGGGAAACTATTATTCTATGATTTCATTCTTATGTGTTACCTGTTAAACTATATTGTCTTCTCTTGCAAAATGGATTTTATGGGTGGTTAAACATGCCAAGTTTGAGAAAGAGGTGACCATACCTCTTTTGTGTTGCTGGGCTTTAAAATGCCTTCATATGCAGCATAAAGAACAAATTATGAAGTAAAACTCTTCCAGAGCCACCATTGGAAACTTCAAAGCAAATTATCCCGTATTTTTTAAACGGTGTGCCCTTAATTATTCATGACTTTCCCACATGCTATATTCAACATTCATAGGAACGCATAAAAATAAATGTAGATTTATAATCATTTTCTTGGCTGCCCACCCCTTTTCCTAAACCAAGTGAGGTACAAAGATCTTTAAGAGAGTCAAGGATAAAAAGCATCACGAACTGAGCACCTTCCACGTGTCAGGCGTGGTGCTCGGGGTTTTCATAGGCTTCTTTTATACTTGACTTTACACTGTGATGGGTATTATTAACCCTGTGCTGTTGGTGTTACACCCAACTTCTAAATGGCATATCTGTCTGAGTCCAATCTCATCTTCCTGCTACTCTACCATGCTATCTCAGAATACCGATGTGTGTCCTTAAGGAGACCAGATGAATTATTTTAGGGAAGAAACACATTGTTCGCTCCTCTCTGGATACATGCAGTTGTCCTTTGGGTGTCTTCTGACCCCTAATTTCCAACTAATACCCAGAAGTAGGGAGGTAATTTGCTCATAAACTGGAAGATTTGTTGATAAGCTGATTCAAGCTTTATTATAATTAGTTTAGTTTAGTCAGGACTCTAAATTACACCTAAAAAGTATGGTTTTCATTTCAGTGACCTTCCTGAAGTCATCAGACCAAATACACACTCTGAGGGATGAGAGAAATCCTTAAACAGCCTTTCAGACTGCAGACAGAGAGAGACAGATCACCTACATCTCACAAAACACTTATCATGTGCCCATACAAAACTCCATGCTTACATACTCATGTGCATTTAAAACTCATTTCCACACTGTGGGGTGGGTGTTAAAGTCCACTGAGGTTCAGAAGGGCTAAAGGATGGGTCTACATCACACAAAGGATGAGATTGGAGCTTGAACCCTCCTCTGTCTACACATAGCTCTGACCAAACTCAAAGCTCACAGCTCTTTTCCCAGACCCGCTGCTATCTCCCATTTAAAGATTTTTTTTTTCCAGAAATAGATAAAAGAATGACAATAGCCTGCACCTCTGGATTCTAGGATATAGATTTCTCATAATATGCTTTGACATCAAAATACGTTCACTTGCTGATGAGGAAATCCCCCTTCGTATTACTCTGTATTATCATAGTGTTAATCAATACAGTGATGTTAGAAGCCCTGAAACTTTCTTTCTGAATATCAGTCCACAGAGGACAACTTAACATTCTGACCACTGGTAAGTTCTCATCATGTGAGAGATAAATTTAGACGAATACTCAATCTAGAGATGACAAGGCAGTTTCCGGCACTTATTATAATAATTTTTATCAAAAAGAGCATTTGCATTTCACATTGAAAGGAAACAGTTCCTCTGGAATTCTTCAAGCCAAGCCACAAGTACATCCATTAAAGGCACAGGGAATCCTTGACATTGATCAAGGAGCAGCTGCTGGGAGGGGGAGCATTAAAGAAGAAGGCAGGTTGCCATCAGCTGTTGGGCAACAGCTGATGTTGCTGGGCAAGTCTTCTCGGAATTGCCCCTCGATAGACCACCTCTAGCAACTTAGTCATAATAGCATCCTACTTTTCGAACACTTCCTACAAGCATTTGATTTCCTTTCTCTCTTCATTCTTAGAAAAATTCTGAAAGAGAAAGTAGGAATTTCCCACCCTCTTTTACCATATGAGAAAACCAAGGCCCGGGAAGTGGTAGGACTTACCCAAGATCACAAATCAGTTAACAGAAACCAGTTCTCCTCTCTCTAGGACCACTCACTGCTCTTTGTTCTATAGCAATGCTTCCCAAACGACAGAAGATTTGTCTCCCAGGGAACATTTGGCAGTGTCTCAAGATATTTTGGTCATCACTCCTGCAAAGGGGGGTTGTGTGTTATTTCTGGCATCTGGGGGTAGAGTCCAGAGGTTCTGCTAAACAAGCTAGATGCACAGATTGACCCATACAAAAAATTATCCAGCCCAAAATGTCAACAATGCCAAGGTGTAGGAACCCTGAGACTGGATAGGAATTATCCTGTTTAAACTATAGAAAAACAATAACATTAAACAGCAATTGCCATTTATTGAGTGCTTACAATGAGTCAAAGACCATACTAAAAGTTTTTTTATGCATTATGTCATTTATAATAGTCTTATAGCCCTGTGAGTTGGGTTTTATTCTACCTAAGAAGAGAAAACTGAGACTCAGACTAAGTAACTTGTCCAATGTCACATGGTTAGTAAGAATTAAACTAAGGATTCCAACCTATAGCCAGTAGTTGTGTGTCAGATAGATAGGTAGATAGATAAATATTGAGAATAACATTTTATCCTACAGTGAGCTGAAAGCTTGTGGGGCATATTTAAAATGAGTCCTTTTCCTTCTGCCTCGCAAATGGGATGGAGTCTCATGGGAATGTTCTTGCATTCTTTAGTTAAGTCAGAATTAAGGAGATTTCAAACTCTCCATGTGGTTTCTCATTTTCCTACTGATAACTTTTGTTTTTGTTTCAACTAAGTAAGGCTAAAACAAGTATAGGCCTAATTAAATGCAGAATGTGAGCCTTTGTTGTACTTTCTAGAATAAAGGCATTTGGGAATGGCCTGCCACAGACCATTTTATCTGCAAACTTTCACTCTAAGACAGAACATAAAGTTAAACACAAGCAAATATGTCTGCTGTGAACTCTGGGAATTGGCTCTGCTAGGACTCTATGCTTGTGCCAGGTAATGCTTGGAGGAAGGGAAAGAACCAAAGATAGTTTGGGCAAGACCTGACCTGTCCCTGACCTCTCCCTGTCTTTTTCAGTCCCTGTCTTTTTCCTTCTTATCCGAGGCATCTAACAATCAGAATGGTTAGTTACTTATTTAGTTATTCACTGAAACTCAGTATGTGTTGAGTTTCTACTATGCCTCAGACTTTGTGAATAGGGTAGATGAAAGCCTGCCCTCATGTAGCTTACAATCTGGTGAGACAGTCAGATGGAATAAATATGAATCATATTAAGCACTTGTTTTATAGTTCCCAACGTTTCTGTGTGCTGTCATGCACTTGGCATTGTCATGATGGCTGCTGTCTGTTCTGTAACACCAGCATCTGGCCTATGACTTAGTTGATGCTAATAAAATGTATTGAATGAATGAATCCTCATAATAACTGCAGGATAAAGGAATCTTCTCCATTTTACTGATGGAGAACTGGAGGCCATGTTGTTTTTCGTAAAGCCAACATTAAAACCAGGTCCATAGGACTACAGGTCCAGTCTTCTGTCTACCATAGCACAACTGCCTCAAGAACAAATTCTAGGTGATTCAGAGGAATAAACATTCCTTTCCCATTTTCCTCTTTCCTTTGATCATTATGGACTCCCTAGATCTTTGGGATGCTGTCCATTGATTTTCTTGTTTGCAGCTCCACACATGCAGGGGTGCAGCTCCCAGCCATCTACTCTGAGAGATCCTAGTTGCTCGCCTCAGCCTCAGCCCCAGGGAGGACTAGCT